GCACCTCTCCTGCAGATGTACATAGGAATGTTAGTGCATCACCATGTAAGGGGGAGTTGCTGGAGGTTGTCTCACTGTCCTTAAGATAAGTCTTTGGACCAAGAAATTATTCTTTTTTGCCCCCATACCCGGACTGTAGTAGTGGTAAAGTATATGTAGTAGGGTCCGTGGTATGCTCGTAAATATCTAGTCACTTCCCCCTGAGAACAAATTGAATGCTCCAGGCTGCGCCAGCCCAGGCTGGACCATTTTGGCCCTATGAATCCTTGTGTCCAAATGACAAGATTAGTGCTAGGTAAGGGTTACTAACCGGTAGACTAATCAGATGCACTATTTAATGATCATAAGACACAATTATTTTGCCTAATAGCCTTATTTATTACAGATTGGCTTGCCAGACGGGGGAGCCTTTTGAGCCGTGAGGTGTATGGAGGACGACTCCACTTCCTCAAGAAGCAGACAAAACAACAACAACAATAAACTTTGCGCCCGCAGCGCCCCTTCCCTAGCAGACAGTAAGCAGTTACGTGCAATCTCGTATCTTATTGCCGCAATTCACGTTCAACTTCCGAGTGGAGAAGTGCATCTTCAGTGGGTCCCATCCCAATTCACTCGAGCATACATGACTGCATACATACATGACATGACTCGAGCAGCATACTCCAATTCACTCGAGCATACTGAGTCAGACGGTCTGACCGGCGGTCGCCGGTCAGATCACTCAGATGGACCGTCTGACTGCCGGCGGTCAGACGGTCTGAAGCTCTGAACGCCGGCCCGAGCATACATTACTGCCCTGTCTGCCCGTACGGTTGGACGCCAAACGGCCGGGTACGGTCACTATGTACGGGCCGTACCGGCGTACCGTATTATTGATGTGATATTACCGTATCCATGGACATGCCATTGTGCCCATTGAGGCTGATTGAGCTGTGAGCATTGACAATGACCATCTTGGGCTTTCCACTGCAAGCTTCATATCAGCAGCCTGCCCGCCCTGCAGCGGGTGCAGCCATGGCCCCTAGTCTGGAAAAGTCCTATTTTTGTCTGAAATATCGCGGCTCTAATATCATATAATTTCAGTAGGTATGAAATCTTGCGGCTCGAATGTCATATGTATTGCACTCTTGATGCCTCTGTACCAAAAACATTCCATTTATTGGAACCTAATACACACTAAAGGCAACAAGTTTATATACCAATTTGACATTCATAGTACATTTATACTAAACCATGAATAACAATACCTCAATATAAATTGAAGACTGCCACTCAATATTTTTAAATATATGAAAAAATCAAAAAAATCAAATAAATCGAAAAAATCAAAAAAAATCATGATTTTTTTATAAAAAAATCAAGTGATTTAATCACATGATTTAATCATTTTGATTTAATCATTGCCAACCCTGTCTGAAGGCGAAAATTTTGCCAATAATGCGTCGCCGTAGGTCTTTGAATCTTCGTTCACTCTCTGCACAGTGGACTGAACATGTAATAAAGCAGTCTGACCGCTCTAATGTGACCAAAACTACGCAATTGAAAAAACGTTGTTTACATTTTTTGCGGGAACTCATCGCAACTGATTTCCGGACAAGCTTCGCTGCATCGTAATCCATCCAACGTACCGGAAACCTTACTTTTTTTCAAAATAGTTGGCTGAAGACTGAGAAATATATTAAATGCAAGAATTTCAATCTAAATGTGTTGGCAAGATCTTCTGAAGGTGAAAATTTTGCTGATAATGTGTCGCCGTAGGTCTTTAAATCTTCGTTCACTCTCTGCACAGTGGGCAAGTTGCAACGGCCATCATCCATGCAATCATGCATCTCAATCCCATATTCATTTGTTGGTATGAAGGAAATGGGAGACCAAGCCAGTCGCCCAGGTGGAGGTCAGTGGAAGCAAAATTAAAGGAGAGGCTAGAGGGGTGTAAATGTTTGTGTTAAGGGGTAAGGCCCTTAAGGGCAAGATGAGAGCAAGGGGAAGAGAAATTCAATAGGAAATTCATTTAGTACCTATTATTGCTACTTCCCAATTATTGCACTCTTGCCAGGGTGCAGAGGCCAGAGGGTGGATGCAGCATTGCCAATCCACACTCAGGATGATGTAGCCTATGTTTTTGGTGAATTTTCCCGCGCATTTTCACTTTTTTTAAGCTATTGCTGTGCACAGTTGGCGCAATGTAATGAAAATTGATTATCTTCGCACACGTGTTCGCGCAATCCCGGCCATCTTTATTTTAGAAGAAATTTTCTCCAAAGTCATATGGCAACACTGAACACCGTCTGTTTACATTTTGTATGTATAACAGCCGCAGTTTACGATTACCGTACGTTCCGTATCCGACAAGGCGGACAAGCGGAAGAGTCAGAAGTAACCCGGACATGTCTTACATTTTATTATTGTCAGTTCGACTCGCGTAGTCAATATACTCGCGTATATTGTCAACTAAGATAGTAGAACTATTTTAGCTTTCTAAAGTATGGCGCACGGCGCATTTTTTTACCAACGTAGTACGGCGCACCGCGCAGGTCGTTAAAATGATAAAATAAATTCCCGCGCACCTGGCACATCTTCCTGACCATGGTCGCCAATATATGGGTTTTTAAGACCTAAGCGTGGCTGGGTAATTTTAAAATGCATCGCCAGGTAATTTTAATGAAAATACATTTACGCTGAGTAATGAAAAACTATTTACAAGCCACAAACTTATTTACAAGGTTGCATGCACGTTTTACCCCAAATAACTAATTTTACCCTAAAAACAGTCCAATTGTACAGCAAGTGTCAACTGAACATGTGATAATGCAGTCTGACCGCTCTAATGTGACTGCAACTAGTATGTAATCGTAAGCTTGATGTTTACATTTTTTTGGCGGGAACTCATTGCAACTGATTTCCGGACAAGCTTCACTGCATCCTGATCCATCCAACATATCGGAAACCTTACATTTTTTAAATAGTTGGCCAAAGACTGAGAAATATATTAAATGCAAGAAATTCAATCTAAATGTGTTGGCAAGATCTTCTGAAGGCCTAAATTTTGCTACTGAAGCGTCGCCAAAGATCTTACAATATTCATCCACTCTCTGCACAGTGGCACTCATGCACTGTAGGTATAGGCCTAGTTTACATTTATATTAGAAATGGCCATCAGCCCATCACCATCATCATATAGGGCCTCTTCCCTCTTATGCCCTGAATGACTTTTTGTGTTATAAGTAATTATTATGGCTTGGTTATTCTAATTTTATTATTGCTTTTTAATTACACCCTCAGGCTGGGGCAGGTCCCAGCCTCCATTCTTGCCAACCTAATCTCCTCCTCTCATACACACTCCAATGACTCCATGCACTCTGTAAAAATTGCTTTCTGCTCTCAGACCTCTGTCATAGTGTCATAGCAGTGATAGCAGCAATCCCTCCTGTTGACAGGCTCACTATCATTGCAATCCATTCATCTCCTGTTCGTTCATACATCACACCTCAGTGACCTCATTCCATGTCACTTTCATCATTTCCAGTCTCTTCTGCTAATAAAGTCATATGCATCACATGATCTGATGATCACACTCTCTATCATATGATCACCAGATGCTCCACAGTTTCCCTCTGTGCTGTCTCTCACCTCTGCCACTCATAAAACAAATATCCTCTCTTCTTTCTTTCATTCCATCTGTATGTCTGTGCATAGTGCATTCACGCTCAAGGCATTTGCTTTCACACAGAACATTAGGACAATGATTAGGTCTCCACCTCTACTTCCATCGTATATCTGCTCATACCTTGGCGTCTAATGCTCATACTCCTAGCATATAGCATTCTTCTGTAGATGTAGTCTTACAGGATGGCTTGTAATTTTGCACCATTTTAATTGGGTTAAGTGAATTGAACTGAATTCACTATAATAAAAAAGATCAAAAAAGCATTGCTGAAACAGAAAGGGATATTTTATTGACTACCATCATATTTTTTGAAGAAAATAATCATAGTTTAAGTTAATTACTTTTCATTCTATGTTACCCAGTGTACATGCAGTGGGCCTGCATTGCCGATGATATGTACATTAATTTTTTGTTTCATGAATTTTTTTGGCTTAGTAAAGTTTAATGTAATCAAAATTCTTAGTTGTTAATGGATATTTTTTGTTAACTGGAGGGTTTTCTAACCAAGGTTCTACTGTAAATGCATTTTTAGGGTGTCCCTTATTACCCCAGGAGGGTGTCACTTATTACCTCGTATTACCCCATATTACCCCAGGGGGCCGCCATTTTTGGGGGATGAGCTACGCAAATTCTGTTAGTCACGTTTATAAGCCAACACATTTGTGCAACTTTTATGCACACATGTAAAAAGTTTTAATACGGCAAATATATATTTTTTTATTTGCCACAGACCTTACCAGAGGTACTCCTCCAAAATCTCACTTTCCACACTTTTTTTCGGGGATTTTAGAGGGGGTATTAAATGTATGATCTTAACTTGCTTTATGCTACATAGATAAGGAAATTGTTGAAATTTACGATACTATTTTAGTTTTTGCAATATTTGAAATAGTTCAGTTTTTACAACAGTTCCATGAAATGCCAGAGGACTGTCCTGATTTACCCGGCCCGTCCCTCATTACCCCATTTGACAGTAGTATCAAAAATAAATTATCTTGGTCTTTGAATGAACTAGATTTTAGAATTATGCAGCCTATAATGCAGGGAATTTCCAACCTTGCTTGAACTTTTTGCCTATGTAATAGATCATCATACATTTGCCTGCAATCACAATTTGGTTTCCAGTGCTGGTTTAGGACTCCTAAATTAGGACTTAGGAGTAAATATTTACTGCCTACTAGCCTATACCTTTGACTGTACTATAACTCTTGCTGCAATTTAAACAATCTATTAGCAGTATTGTAAATTTTTAATTGCAATTAAGGTAAATTATACTGCTAAGTTGCTATTATATATACCTACCTAGATATTTAATATCTTGACAACTACCTACTCAATAGTCATAAACTAAAGGTTTAAATTAATTTTGAGCATTTGTGGCCACTTCAGGGTAGGTATATATATTAAATGATCACAAACCTTTAAAATTATTTTAAATGTCACGTCGTCAGCTAAGAAAATATGAGGCTCTCAAGGCACAGATGTCTGATGGCTCAGTCAGAAAAAAAGAAATCAAACAAGAAGCAAGGACGGAAATAAGTAAGGAAGACCCAACAAAAGATTCCACTGATGATGACAGTGAAGAAGCTGAGAATGTGGTCCAGCCCCTTGCTCGGAACAGATTTGATATTGTGAGTATTTTGTCTTCATTGGGAACCTTTCCTGCTTTTGTCAGTAACAGCATGTACCTGCTTGACTCTGCAACTATTCTCATGAATTATAGGCAGCTCCTTATCACTGTTTCAAAAAATTTATCTTGGTTGTCATTCACTCATCATATAGGTACATATACCGTCAACCGGGGCTACTCGGGACAGGCGGGGCTACTCGGGACAGGCCTATGACACGGCGTAAAACTGTTGTAGTAGCGAAACTAATTAGAATATCACAAAACTAAAAATAGTGGCATAAACATAACTATTTTTCCTATCTATCTGGTATAAAGGAAGTCAAAAAATACTACATTTACTTGCTTGGAAAAATTCCTGAAAAAAATGGTGAAAAACTATGTTTTGTCAAGTTACAACTGCTAAGGTATGTAGCAAAAAAATATTCGCCGTATTAAAAAATTTTACTTACATAAAAGTTGCACCCAGGTGTCGGCTTGAAAACGTAATTGACAGAATTTGCCTATCTAATTCCAAAAAGAAATGGCAGCCATTTCCGCACAGCGGGGCTACTCGGGACACCCCCCCCGGGGCTATTCGGGACACCCCCAAAAACGCATTAAGGGTAGAACCTCAGTTAGCAAAGGCTTCAATTACGAAAAAAATTGATTAAAAACAAAGAATATTGATCACATTTCCCTTGCTCAGCGAAAAAATTTCACTTATCGAAAAATTAGTGCATCATCAGTCATCTTAAAATTGTGCATAGCATGTCATGTATAGAATTGTGCACCAGGCATTATAGAATGAAAAGTAATTGACCTAAACTATGATTTATTGCTCAAAAAGATATGCTGGTTGTCACTAAAACATTCCTTTCAGGAAGTTAATGATCACGTGAAGTTAATGATCACGCAAAGTTAATGATCATGTGAAGTTAAATACCACGTGAAGTTAATGATCACGGGAAGTTAATGATCACGGGAAGTTAATGACCACGTGAAGTTAATGATCACGTGAAGTTAATGACCACGGGAAGTTAATGATCACGGGAAGTTAATGATCACGTGAAGTTAATGATCAGGTGAAGTTAATGATCAGGTGAAGTTAATGATCAAGCTAAGTTAAAGGAAAAACAAGTAAAAATCACAGAAAATGTCATTTATTCTACCTCTACATCATCTACAATGAAAGAGGAGGACTTCAGAGTACTGTTAGTAATGGATGAGTACAATCTGCATGCTTCAAATGTTTTGAAATGAAGTTTTATTCCCGTTGTCCCAAGTAGCCCCAACCGACGGGGCTACTCAGGACAATCTCTATTTTGCGTCTGGCACCTTACAAATAGCATATGGAATTTTTTTGACAATGCCATTCGATAGCCCTGCCAATCAGCTATAAAATGAGACTAAACTTGTTTATGAAATGTTTCATCGTAAGAAGTTATTAACTGTTATTTAAAACTAATCATTCAAATCTGTCCCGAGTAGCCCCGGTTGACGGTACTTCCTTCATTTTTATATCTTAGGTGCTGTTCCTAATCAATTCTATTGGGAACTGGACCAATTTTATGTTTCAGGTTTTCAATTCCTATCAAGCCAGCAACAATCCTACATTGTAAATATACCTAGTCCATAATTACAAGGTTGTCATCATCCCTCTACATTATTTGATGTACTGTCAATGGTTTTGTCAACAGTTTTTTTGTCTGTGTTTTGAGCATTTTTTGTTAATAACTTTTTATGATGAAACATTTCATTAACAAGTTTAGACTCATTTTATAGCTCTTTGCAAGGGCTATTGAATGGCATCTTCAAAAAAATTCCATATGCTATTCGTAAGGTGCCAGAAGCAAAAAAAGAGTGTCCCGAGTAGCCCCGTCGAACAGGGCTACCTACTCGGGACACTGGGAATAAAACTTCATTTTAAAATATTTGAAGCATGCAGAGCGTACGCATTTATTACTAACAGTACTCCGAAGTCCTCCTCTTTCATTGTAGATGATGTAGAGGTAGAATAAATGACATTTTCTGTGATTTTTACTTGTTTTTCCTTTATTGATATGATATTGCCATTACATCAATCATCGTATTATTGATGTGACATCATATTATTGATGCAATATTACCGCATCCATGAACATGCCATTGAGCATTTATAACAACCTTGTCCACTGCAAGCTTCATATCAGCAGCCATGTAGCACTTTTTCTGTATCTGTAAGCTTACAAGATGGCTTGTAATTTCACAGCATTTTGATTGGGTTAAGTGAATTTACTATAAAAAAAAAAGATCTTGAAAAACATACCTGAAACAGAAAGGAATGTTTTAGTGACAACCATCATATGTTTTGGAGAAAAAAATCATAGTTTAGGTCAATTATTTTTCATTCTATGATGTCTGGTGCACAAGTCTACATATGACATTCTATGCGCAATTTTGTGATGACCAACGATGCACTAATTTTTCGATAAGTGAAATTTTTTCGACAAGCGAGGTAAATGTAATCAATATACTTTGTTTTTAATCCATTTTTTTCTTAACTAGAGCCTTTGCTAACTGAGGTTCTACTGTAAATTCGTTTTTGGGGGTGTCCCGAATAGCCCAGGGGGGTGTCCCGAGTAGCCCCGCCGTGCGGAAATGGCCGCCATTTTTTTTGGAATGAGATAGGCAAATTCTGTCAATTACGTTTTCAAGCCGACACCTGGGTGCAACTTTTATGTAAATAAAATTTTTTAATACGGTGAATATTTTTTTGCTACAGACCTTAGCAGAAGTAACTTTTCAAAATAGCGTTCTTCACCATTTTTTTCAGGAATTTTTCAAAGCTAAGTAAATGTCGTATTTTTCGACTTCCTTTATAGGTACTACATAGATAGGAAAAATGTTGATGTTTACGCCAATATATTTATTTTTGCAATATTCCAATTAGTTTTGCTACTATAACAGTTTTACACCGTGTCGGAGGTGCGTCCCGAGTTGCCCGCCAGTCCCGAGTAGCCCCGGTTGACGGTATTTGGAAGCTATTACCCCATATTGGAGTTTATACGTCTCCCTGCTGGCATCAGTATTTGTAAATTTTTGCATTCAATGTCATCTAGGCGATAGTTTGCAATTTTTTACATCAAAAATGTTTGAATCCTCGTGTATTGTTGATGGCAGGATGTTCTATCAACTATTCTGGAGCAGGCAAAGTTGACCATAAGTAAAATGTTTTATTTGTTAAATGAAAATTAGGCCTATTGATTTTAAATTTAATAAGTTCACTATCATTAAAATTTCAGCTTCTGGAAGACTCAGACAATGAAGGAGATGCAGACAGTGAGTACAGTGAGCAGCAGTCAGGCTTGGAGCACCCAGCTACTGCAGCTGCTGATGACATCAGCCAGCCACAACCACAGCACAAACTCAAGAAAAAGAAAAAGCTTAAAAAGAAGAAAAAAACTCATAATCCTACTGCAGACAAAACTGATGCTAGTGAAGAATTGGTTAGTTTTAGGACAATTAATATAATGAACTTATCTTTGTTATCTATTTTATAACTGAAGTTATTTATTCACATTCCATATGAACTACGGTACATATTATGCTGTAGAAATTTATAAATACCATCCGTTTGTTATGTTGAGCACTCTTAACTCATCTGCTAATGGCATTCACATTTGATGTTAATTAGTTGAAGGAAAAGTATATAATTGCTTTTAATGCATTTCATATCTTGGATTATTGAGATGAACTTCTTGGAATTCAAAGTTGATGTATACATACTTTCTTGAATTATAGAAATATATATTGGGAGTGATAAGATGTTTTTAGGAATAATTAAATATTATGAATTGTTTCAGGAGCTTGATGAAGTAGAGGCAAGTGTGAGGGAAGTGAATGAGCTTCTTGGGGAAGCTACAGTGGCTGAGCCTACACCTGCGGCTGTAGGTGGGTTGTGCCAACTCTACGTGTTCAGCTTTAGATATCTTCTTGTTGAGACTTCAATGTGGTGCATATGTGTACCATGAGATGGTGCATATGTGTACCATGAGATGGTGCATATGTGTACCATGAGGTGGTGCATATGTGTACCATGAGGTGGTGCATATGTGCACCATGAGGTGGTGCATATGTGCACCATGAGGTGGTGCATATGTGCACCAGCTCATCACGTGCTTTCACATATTTGGTCATTAGGTTCCCTGGAATATCCTTGGGCTGTCAAATTTCTATTCCCTATAGCAAATTTCACACGAAAAGGTTAGGAAGCTTAGTGTGATGTAATAATAGCTTATCTTCATTAATAGGATAATAATTTCTAGTTGAGCAGAATATTGCTGTGACCTCATATGTGATCTATAACTTCTGTAATTGTTTTTTATCTCAATATCAGTTCAATAATTTGCTATTAATTATTATTTTATTATTTGTAAACAATATAAATATTGTGTTCAGGTGGACATGTTGCCAGCAGCCCACGGGAGGACTTGCTGGCAGTTGATTACAGGTACCTGGACGCCCTCCTGGAACTGCAGCGCATCTTTGGCAGCGACGTGGTGGCTGACAGGAGCAAGGGCGGCGCTGACAGGAGCAGAGGGAGGTACCAGGTGAGGATCCGCTGACAGGAGCAGAGAATGGGGCTGACAGGAGCAGAGGGAGGCACCAGGTGATGATCCACTGACAGGAGCAGAGGATGTGGGGCTGACAGGACAAGAGAAGAGAGGACCAGGAGTTGGCTATCAGGGCAAAGGATGAGGTTAGCTGGGTCTAACAGGTCCAAGGCTCTAACTAGCATCCATATAGTTGTATAACGAACTAGCAGCCATTAGTTGTATAAATAACTAGCTGCCATATAGTTGTATAAATAACTAGCTGCCATATACCTAGTTGTATAACTAACTAGCAGCCATATAGTTGTATAAATAACTAGCTGCCATATACCTAGTTGTATAACTAACTAGCTGCCATATACCTAGTTGTATAACTAACTAGCAGCCATATACCTAGTTGTATAACTAACTAGCAGCCATATAGTTGTAAAACTAACTAGCAGCCATATAGTTGTAAAACTAACTAGCAGCCATAGAGTTGTATAACTAACTAGCAGCCATATAGGTAGTAGTTGTATAACTAGCCGCCATATAGTTGTATAACTAACGGCTGGCTTAGGTACACGTAGTGGCCCAAGTACCCATAGCTGCCTTGGTACATGTAGTGTCATAAGTAAAGTAAATGATAATGAATGCTATAATTATTGGCTATAGGTCTATTTAATCTATTTTTAACCACACGGCCTTTGTGAGATAACAAATGCCTGTGTTTTTAGGGTCGCCACAAAGTGAGCAGCAAGGCCAGCCTGCGTGGAGGTTATCAGGCCGCCGTGCCACACGACAACGGCATCTCCATGACCCTTGACCCCGACCACCCTCGTACTGGGGCCATCACCGTATACTGCTACCGCCATGATACTAAATACCAGGTACCGCCATGATACTAAATACCAGGTACTGCCATGATACCAAATACCAGGTACCGCCATGATACCAAATGCCAGCTACCACCTGGTATTTGGTATCATGGTATTAGTTCAAATTCACATTACAGAAACAGTCTTCTAAGCCGTATGGTCCTAATGTGGAGGAGAGGTACCCTGCATTCAGAATGTTGGTTCGCATGGGTCAATACATTAAAGTTCCTTCTTCCGCCCTGAATTGTTCTATTAAAGTGGCGTATTTCTGCCTTAACTGTTTTATTATTAAAGTGTCTTAACTCACCATGAACTCTTGTGTTAATGCGCCTACTATTTACGTGCCTTATTCCACGTGAATTATTTCCTGCAGAGGACGCAGTTGAGGTTCGACCACGTCATGGAGGCGCGTGACCAGGAAGGCATGCTGGAGCTGCTCCACGAGTCCCCCAGACACGTGGACACGTTGCTCCAGCTGGCAGGAATTTTCCGGTCTCAGGAGGATTACACGTACGCGGATGACCTCATCCAGCGCTGCATCAGCGAGCTCGAGTCATCCATGTCAGGCTTGCGGCTGACCGAACCTACCGCGGCGCTCGATTTCAAAAGAATGGAGAACCGCGGGCTTTTTTACGCGCTGTTTTACCACATGGTCGCCGTGGCAAGACGCCAGTGTTACAGATCAGCCTTGGAGATCTCCAAGATTTTGATAAGACTGAGCGCAGCAGGCGATGATCCTTTAGCAGTGGTCCTGATAATTGACTTCTACGCCTTGCGGTGTCAAGAATACGTCTGGCTCCTCGAATATTACAAGAAGTATAACGCTAAACAAAACCTGCAAATGCTGCCTAATTTTGCGTACTCGATCCCCTTAGCGTATTTCTTTTTGAGCCTGAACCAAGGTTCGTGTGTTGCGCACAAGCCCTTGAAACTGCGCCTTACTAAGGCGCAAAGCCAGTGCTACAAGGACAAGAAGGACTTGAGGACACAGGCTGACGCCATGTTGCTGCAGGCCTTGATTGCCTTCCCTGAATTTTTCCTCAAAGTCATGCAGGAAAATGGACTTGAAATCCAAAAGGACTTGGCGAACTCGGCTCACTTCACCGCCCCCAGGTGAGGGGACTGGGGGCTGTCACTTGAATGGGGAGGGTAGTTTTGTAACGTGGGGAAGAGAAAGTGTGCTTTGTAATAAGGAGAGGAAGGGTTTTTGTAACATGGGGAAAGGGTGATGAACTTCCCTTAATTGGGGAATAGCTGGGCTAGACCTCTGAGGGGAGGGGGAAGTCTTGGCTCGAGCTCTCTTGCACGGTCTTCTATGCTGGTTGCACGCCAGGAGTGATATAAATGAATTTAAATTGCATAGTGCGTGGGTGTCTCTCTTGTATCATGCCCGCATCTCGGCCTTATCATGGCCTCCGCCGTATTGATGATGGCATTCATTATTATGACCGTACAATAACCACACCATGACCGTGTACCGTACCGTGACCGTGTACCGTAGCGTACCGTGACCGTATACCGTACCGTGACCGTGTACCGCATCATGACCGTATACCGTGACCGTGTACCGTGACCGTACACCGAATCGTGACCGTGTACCGTGACCATGTACCGTGACCGTACACCGTATCATGACCGTGTACCGTACCGTACTCGTGTACCGTGTTGCAGATGGCACTCGCACCCAACACACGCGCTGTGCCACGCGTACGCCGCCCGCACCGCGTCTCTGTGGAAGCAGCCCGAGGCGCTCAGCTGGCTGTGTGGTGAGAGCCTGCATCACTTGAGGGGCCTGCATCACTTGTGGGGCCTGCATCTGTTGTGGGGCCTGCATCACCTGTTGTGGGGCCTGCATCACCGTGTTGTGGGGCCTGCATCACCGTGTTGTGGGGCCTGCATCGCCGTGTTGTGGGGCCTGCATCGCCGTGTTGAATTGCTTTATATTATTAGTTATTCTTATCAATGATGTTTGATTGTTGGTTGCCAGTAACGAATTAATGTCAATCTCTATTGTTAATTAATAGATCTTGATTGATCTATACTAATTGATTATCTTCTGTGTCAGTGCTAATTATTTGACTAAATGGATTGTGAATGATTGGCTTTGATCTACGGTATGTTAATTGATTGGCCTTGATCTATGGCAATTGACTGGCCTTGATCTATGTTATTGATTAGCCTTCATCTATGTTAATTGATTGGCCTTTATCTATGGTCCTTGTCTAGCCTTGATCTATGCCAATTATCACGTCATTATCATTATTATCAGGATAGATCATTATTATTTAATTATGACTGTATGCGCAGAGCGTGCGCGGTGCGCGTGTGAGCGCGTGGCGGCTGGGGACGCGTGCGTGGGGGAGGCGAGAGCCCTGCGCATGGGGAGGACTGCCCACCTCCCCACCCCCGTCATGCGCCACCTCATCCTCACCCAGTACCCCCACGTGGGGGAGTACGTGCCCATGGTGAGAGGGGGGGGGGTACGTGCCCATGGTGAGAGGGAGGGGGTACGGCCCATGGTGAGAGGATGTCTCTTATACACATCTAGATGTGTATAAGAGACAGACCGTGTTGTGGGGCCTGCATCACCTGTTGTGGGGCCTACATCACCTGTTGTGGGGCCTGCATCACCGTGTTGTGGGGCCTGCATCACCGTGTTGTGGGGCCTGCATCACCNNNNGTGTTGGGGGAGTGGGGGGACATGAGTGCTGGTTGCTGTCTCTTATACACATCTAGATGTGTATAAGAGACAGGGGTACGTGGGCGTGGTGAGAGGGGTGTGGTACAAGTGGTGAGAGTGGTGTGGTGTTATTAGTTTCCCCGTCAATTATCCATTAATAAACCTGTTTAGTAATCCTATTGAATGACCGTATCAAATAACCCTGATTAGGAAAGAATGAGTTTTCCAAAAGCTTTATAGAAATATAATCTTCGATGTTGACCGTACATTATGGGTTTATCGCTCGATCGCCAATTGCTTTAATTCTGTCAGGAGGGTTTACGAAGTGGCTTACGAGGCGCGTATGTCAGTTCTCTTATGAAATAGGTTACGGCAAAAAATGGTTGTAATGAAACACAGGTTAATTTAATATTAAATTGGAAAATTCAAGATCTCATCCTACATTTACTAAAATCTCCAGAAAATGAAAAAAGTAATCTAAACACAATTATATTAGAGAATAAAATGTATCAGTCAACATCACTGAAATCTTCTACTTTTACCAGAAAACGTTGAACCGTAGAACGGTACGACCCCCGCGACGACCGTACCTCACGCGCGCGTTTGCAGCCGTATTCCAAGTGGCCGTACCGCAGCTGTAGCCGCTGACGCTGTTCTTCATAACCGTCGTGTCTCGCTGATATAGATATCTCACGGTCAGTCTGGCCGTAGATCGTTTAACGACGACCGTACTTCTAAATAGCGGCGTAGACTTCATCGTCGATGATGTTACTCCAAGCCGTAATGTGGCTGATGATTGCTGTGACCGTACCGCTTCTTCTGATGAGAGTTGTGACCGTACTGGGCTGTTGACCGTACTGATGAGAATTGTTGTTTTGCAGTGATCGAACTTGAATCTTCTGATTGCCGGCGTAATAATCGTTGTATAACTCGTGGCTTCTCGCGTTGTCTCACGGCTGAGCCACAGCCGTAGCAGTGATGTTGACCGTACATATATGGCGAAGTCGTGGCCGATGCTTGTTAATTTTTGACGTTGTTGTATCGGAGTCGTGCTGGTATGAACGACTCAACGTTTCACACGGCCGTTATTTCTCTACCCGCCGCCCAACGGCCGAAGCCGGTAAGGAGATAGCTGCAGACCGTACTGGTGTGACGGTCACCACTGTAAAACAATTTTTTGGTGCGAATTTTAGGTTCCTTATAAAGGCAGACGTCAGCCTACCACGTGACGACGCGTCAGTTTCGGGCTTTTTTAACGTCAGCACTTTTGATACCCTCGGCCGTTCCTAACTATAAACAAACCCTCGGTCTCGAGAACAATAGCGTCTTATACAAGCTCTACACAGTTTCAACCCAAATTCATATAGCCTCCTTAACACATTTACTCTTCAAGTCTCTAACTTCCATGAACTTTCATAACTCAAGTTATTAATTAATTCACCCTTAACCTTTATTATATACAGTATAATATAAGTCAGAATTACCGACGCTCTAATCAACCCCGTTAAGTGCCCCAACAAGTACCCCCACAAGTACCCCTACAAGTACCCCTACAAAGCCCCCACAAGAATCCCTACAAGCCCCACAAGTCCCCCCCCCCTGAAGTGCGTGTGTGTGCAGGGTGTGCTGGTGAGGACGCTGGGGCGCCACCACGATGTCATCCCCCCGGCAGAGTCGCGGCGCTCCTACGACCCCTTCTTCCCCAGCCGCGGTGGGGACGTTTCTATAACATCATGTTTATTCCTAGTATACTATACTATAATATACTTATACTATATATAATATTATATACTTATTATAGTTTTATACTATACTAGAGTAGTAACATCGCGTTTTATTTCCAGTATACTATACCATAGTATAATATAGTTATGCCCTATATACTATTATATACTTATTATAGTTTTATCCTATACTACAGTATAGTATTACATTTTCACCATTATAATATTCTATTGTAGCACCATATATTTGCCTTGATGCTCTTATAAACATGTTACATTTTATATCGTATCGTCTAGTTTATTATTAAATAATTGATATGAAACTTACGAATAAGTTTGTTATCTTGCTGACATTCTCAAGGTTGTGTTGAATATATTTATTTTTAATTATAATGTAGATAGATAATTAATGATAATTAATGTAATGTAATTATAGGTCAATTTAGTTAATTGTGTATAATTGTGTTGGTTTTATCCAGACGGCCGCCCCACCCACCGCCCCACCACGGGTGAACCTCCCCAGCAACGGGGGATGCTGGCTGAGTTCTTCTTAACTCTCTTCCCCGACAACACAAACTACACCCGCGCTGGGTTGGGGGAGTGGGGGGACATGAGTGCTGGGTGTGTTGGGTGTGATGTGCAGCTCACGGGTGACATGACATCACGCAGACCAGGTTGCCTGTAATTTACCCCTCTATTTAAATTTCTGCATCCCTAAGAATGTTATGTATCATTGTATTGTAATCCAAGTAGGTACAAATTATATCCTGATTACCTTTCAAGTATTTTTTCCTAAAATCAATTCCCATGGTTTGTTGGTGCAGGGAACTCGAGCCGCTGCAGGAGCGACTTGCAGCTTTTGCAGCGGCAGCTCCTGCAGCAGAAGGTGCGGCTGCAGCAGCGACCGGAGGTAGCATAACATACACGTAACTTAATATATTATTGGGTATATCCACTCAATATTATCATTATTGGATCTATTCTGTGATGTCCTACCTGAATTTCCCCCTTATTTAGAACTCGTGCAAAGGTGTCACTCCCAAAGACCAAAGACATTTATACTCCGAACTCGCAGGTGATACAAGACGGCTAATAATTTTACAACACTTCTCTTTAACTTCACTTCTTGTCTGTCTGTCTGTCTGTCTGTCCGTCTGCTACAAATCTTGTAATCGAAATTCAATACACTTCTACTTATCCTATCGATCTGAAATTTTGTATACTTGTTTAAAGTTGGAGACAATGCATGAATCAAATGTCAAAATAAATGATTTTAAATAGTAAAAAAAAAATTTTTCAATATTAAAAAATTGAAAAAATAATTTTGTCAGCTACAAATCTTATAACTGATATTTGACACACTTTTACGTGTCTAATTGATCTGAAATTTTGCACACTTGTGTGAAATCTGAAGCAATGCATGAATCAATTAACAGAATAAATAATTTTGAAAAAAATTTATTTATTAAAAAAAATTATATTTATTAAAAAAATTGAAAAATCAATTTTTTTAATTTTCGAAAATTAGATGAGAAATTCATTGTACATCTGTAAGATTGGAGATACTGGATTCTTTGGAAGTGTTGTCTTTAAAAAGTAATTTTTAAACGTATATTATTACTCGTCAAGCTACGGGCTGTGCTTGTTGCTTCCGAATTTGGGTCGTGGCGACCTATGTTTAAATTTATTGACCTTGTTTAGTCTATAGACATTTACCTCACCAGGGCCCCAGACACCTCTTTTCCCTTCATGCCCCCATACCATATACCCTAACCCCCATACCTTCAGCCTGCACCCATATACCCCATACCCCAATACCTTCAGCCTGCACCCATATGCCCCTCCCCATACCCCCATACCTTCAGCCTGCACCCATATACCCCATACCCCCCACACCTTCAGCCTGCACCCCTGTACCCCCACGCCCCCAGCAGGCGCCCCTATACCCCATACCCCCCACGCCCCCAGGTGCCCCAGAGGCGATGTTGTTTTTCCTGGACTCGGCGCGGTCGCTGCTGGACGCGCTGCTGCTGCGCCAGCGCGAGGACGATGCGGGCGACGACGCGGGTGACGAGTTGGGCGTCGGGGCTGACGAAGGCGGCGACCTTCATCTTGCTGACACTGATGATGATGGTGCAGGTCGTGGTGACGATGATGGTGCAGGTCGTGGTGACGATGATGGTGCCCGTCGTGGTGGTGATGATGATGTACAGGAGCCACAATGACGACGTACGTGCGACGATGTAGCGACGTGCGTAATGGGTTACGTTTGGCGCCCAAATTGGAACAGATCCTCACCCGTCCCCCGTCCCAGGGAAGTGGGGGGAGAGTTGGGGATGCGGCCTGACAATATGGGGATGTAGAGGCAGGGAGACATTTCGGCTGAATTGTAATCCTTATTTTACTCATGTTTTATTGTGTCTTTTGCGGCTCGATGGTCGCCGTGATGGGATGAGTGTTGTGCGCTGTTGGGGCGTGAGATAAAAATAGCTTCGTAACTGATCGTTTTATTATTAAATCCTGGTCGGTCTTACCCCACGCCAACCCTGGAAAATCTAACCAACGCTATCCCCACTCCAACCCAAATCTTTCCCCACTCCAACCCTTCTGTGAACGAACGAGGGTTTCAAATTTGATAGCCCGCGTAGCCTTATTGCACCAGGCACTTTAACCATGTTGCCAATGTAATGGTATAATCAAAGGTTATCACTAAAAAGGAACTCTTGTTCTTTTATTTCCCCCTATGAAATAAAGATGTCGCCTCCATTAGGTGATTGTCCCCAGCTTGAGCCTTTCTTCCAAGTAATACGTACATCAGAACAAATTGCCTATGCCTGGTCCTGTTAGAGGATCCTTTTAAACTAAAGCTCGTTACAGGAACCTAAAGCGAATGCGCGATATTAAATTGATAGGCATTCGCCTGCTGAACGAAAATGCGGAGCTGAGAGACGTTCGGCAAGTTCAGTACAAAGTCGCGCGCTAGTAAGTAACGAATAGTGGGAACTTGTGATGAAACTGTTGAAACTCTCGTATGAAGCTGTCAAGATAAACTGTTGTAATAGCGAGATGAAGCTAGAGGGAGAGAGGGAAAATTAATTTCGGCCTGAAGTGGAGTAGCTACGCAAGCAGCTGGTGTTATCTTTGGATGAAACACGACGGTATTGAGAGTAGCGCTTTGCAAAAAAAAGTTTTGTTTATATTAGGTCGACCACTTGTGGGGACCGAGAAGCTGCATGATCGCCTCGTAAGGGCAGATACCAGGCATAGGAAAGCAGATGTTTGCCACACGAGGATAGAGGCAAAACAAATACGTCGGACCTCATGAAATTAGAGGGCAAATACCCGAAAGTTCAGAGCAGCGACCCGAAGTTTGAGGGTAGTCGCATGAAATCCGAGGGCAACCATGCAGAAGTTGATGATGACCTCATAAAAGCTGAGGGTGACTGCACGGAAGCATGGGGTAATATGAGAGTAGAGTAATTAACTGCGTGATTTAGAGGCGCGGGCTCTTCGCTACAAGTGTCGCAGAGAACGTGTGGACGGAGCTCGCGTATCACACAAGAAAAAATTCGTAAATCTTGTTTAAGATAAAAATTTATCGTTATCTTATCTCGAAAATATTTTATTCATGTTTTATTGTGTCGTTTGCGGCTCGATGGTCGCCGTGATGGGAAGAATGTTGGGCGTGAGATGAAAACTGCTTCGTAACTGATCGTTTTATTACTAAATCCCGGTCGGCCTTACATGTTTACTGAATATGATAAAAATTAATTATAAATGACCGTAAGTTTTCATTATGTTCTCCAGTAAACTCGGTATATTTGGACGCAAGGGAAGAACCGCCACGTGCATGTGAGCGTAGAAGGAGCAAAACAGCGTACATGTCACGCATAGACAGCGTACATGTCACGCATTGACAGCGTACATGTCACGCATTAACAGCGTACATGTCACGCATTGACAGCGTACATGTCACGCATTAACAGCGTACATGTCACGCATTGACCGCGTACATGTCACGCATTGACTGCGTACATGTCACGCATTGACTGCGTACATGTCACGCATTGACCGCGTACATGTCACGCATTGACTGCGTACATGTCACGCATAGACAGCGTACATGTCACGCATTGACAGCGTACATGTCACGCATAGACAGCGTACATGTCACGCACTGACAGCGTACATGTCACGCATAGACAGCGTACATGTCACGCACTGACAGCGTACATGTCACGCATTGACTGCGTACATGTCACGCATTGACAGCGTACATGTCACGCATAGACAGCGTACATGTCACGCACTGACAGCGTACATGTCACGCATAGACAGCGTACATGTCACGCACTGGTTTGTTTGGCCGCTGACCCAGTCACTCCATTAAGTAGGATTTCGTCCTCCGTTGTATGTAACGAAAAGTGAAGTTAACACGCCTTCTCTTAATTGCCTAGCGTTAGCGCAGCGCAAATAGAAATAATTCAAGTTAAAAATATCTCCATGCAGACGTCATTTTTTACGGACAAGACGCAAAAAAGTATATTTTTAATTTAACAGTGCAGCTGCTTTCAGAATTATCGATCTGTTATCCAATAAAAAGACAGCAATTTACGTTTTATTCCTTTTGACCCCCTCATAAACATATCTTTTTTCTAGTGCGGATCAATTATTCTCTGCCAGCCTCTCATAAATGATTCTGGATTGCCCGTATCCGAGGCAGGAACTTTCTACGACTAGTGAAATCGAAGTAAAGGTACGGTTTTCAGAGTTATATTCAAAAATCCCATAGAAAATATTACATAAATGCCCTAGATATATCATTATAAATATTGATGTGTTCTGAACATATATTCAGTTCGCTAATTTAACAAGCAAAACTAAATTAGTATTGAAGGAAATCATTAGTATGATTACCCTGTCTAAAAAAATATAAACATTGTAAACAAATCTTGATGAGCGCGACTGTGGCCTATATTTGTCGAGGCAATCATTGCGGTTGACTTCTAGCAAAACGCGTCTAGGGAAGAACTATAGCGGGTTCTTAGCTAATGACTAACTGAAAGGTGCTCGGGGAACTAAGAACTTGTGGGTGCTCAGTGAACAAAAAACTTGTGGGTTATAAATAAGAATAACAAAGAACTTGTGGGTTGTAAATAACAAAAAACTTGTGTTTTATTAATAACAAGGAACTTGTAGGTTATAAATAACGAAGAACTTGTGGGTTATAAATAACAAAGAATTTGTGGATCATAAGTAACAAAGAAATTGATGGTTATAAATAACAAATAACTTGTGGGTTATAAATAGCAAAGAACTTGTGGGTTTTAAATAACAAAAAATTGTGTAATATTAATAACAAAAAAACTTGTGGTTATAAATAACAAAGAACTCGATGGTTATACATAAGAAAAAACTTTTGGTGGCCTGTAAAAATAAACTTGGTTTTTCACTAAGAGTAAACTTGCAAGTTTTTGATCAAGAAATAACTCAAAAGTTCTCATGGAGAACTAATTAACGTATAGATTCTCGATGAAGAAAACTTCGAATTTCAAATAAAAAGTTGCATTTTTCAAGAACAAAGAACTTGGCTGAGCTTTAATACCAGACAATTTATGGACGAGTTCTCAATGACATAGAACTTTTAGATTCTCAATAACGAAAATAATTCTGGGTTCTCAATAACAGGGAATTTACCGACAGGTTCTCAGTTACAAAGAACTTATGGGTTATCAATTACAGAAAACTCTTTAATTTTAGATAAAAACAGGGGTTTGAGTCTTCAGTCATAGACAATATACGGGTTCTCAGTTAAAGGCAATATACGGGTTCTCAGTTAAAGGCAATATACGGTTCTCAGTTAAAGAAAATATACGGGTTCTCAGTTAAAGGCAATATACGGTTCACAGCTAAAGACAATATACGGGTTCTCAGTTAAAGACAATAAACGGGTTCTCAGTTAAAGACAATATACGGTTCTCAGTTAAAGAGTATACAGTTCTCAATTAAAGAAAATAAACGGTTCTCAGTTAAAGACAATGTACGGTTCTCAGTTAAAGACAATATACTGGGTTCTCAGTTATAGACAATAAACGGGTTCTCAGTTAAAGACAATATGCGGGTTCTCAGTTGAAGACAATATACGGGTTCTCACTTAAAGACAATATACGGTTCTCAGTTAAAAAAATATACGGGTTCTCAGTTAACGACAATATGCGGGTTCTCAGTTAAAGACAATATGCGGGTTCTCAGTTGAAGACAATATACGGTTCTCAGTCAGAGACAATATACGGTTCTCAATTAAAGACAATATACGGTTCTCCGTTAAAGACAATATACGGTTCTCCGTTAAAGACAATATGCGGTTCTCAATTAAAGACAATATACGGTTCTCACTTAAAGACAATACACAGTTCTCAGTTAAAGAAAATATGTGGTTCTCAGTTATAGACAATAAACGGGTTCTCAGTTAAAAACAATATCCGGTTCTCAGTTTATGAGAGGCGTAGAAATCTCTGCTTTCTTTCGGCATGAATTATTTGTAATATTTTTTTCAATCAACGATACGCCATACATTCTACAATATTATATGATACAATACCCTCTTCGTGATAGATATATCAGAACTAAAGAGATATATAAAATAAAAAGAGGTATATCAGTTCAAAATCTATTTGGAAACTAATAAATACAAATTGAGCGGGCCAGTTCCTATGACCAGCGAGGCTGATGACATGCGATGTGTAAACAAAACCTGCCATGGATTTCTTTGGACGTGACTGTTAAGTTATTAATTTGTTAATATAATTAATGCTAATGTCTCAATGTTTACACATGCGCTACGCTGATGGTCAAAGCGCTCTCTGCAGCGCTGGATATTCTATCATCGGTTACTTTAAAATTACCCCTAGGCCAGCTTTGTGACGGAGATCTGGTTATAGAATCGAATAGAAGTGTCGGCACTGAAGAAGTAGGCCCATGGCCTGTTGCCGACAGCTGGATACAGCAAGACGGTAGCGAGATGACAATGGAAGTGAGAAATGGGATTGGGATGTCCGTGGGTTTGGATTGTCCGTTTGTTGGGGTGGTGTGAGGTGGTGGTTCTTGGGAAGGCCACGAAATTTGGGGCTCTTCGAGAAAGACTTGGGTCTCACGAGCCCCACGAGTTGAACGTTAATTGTAAACCGAGCGAAAAGACCTGACGAACCACAAGCTCTTGACGACGAAGGGAGTTTGTAGTCTAAAGAAAAGAATGCAGGTTCAACAGGAGCGGACGAGGGGCGCGGGGTCGTCAGGAGCAGACGAGGGGCGCGGGGTCGTCAGGAGCAGACGAGGGGCGCGGGGTCGTGGGGATGTTCCAAGTAGTTGACGATGGCGACGACGCTCGCGTAGCTGCCCGTGACGAAGCCCAGCAACCCGAACGCGACGAGGGCAACCGCCTGGCGGGCGAGACATGAGGCATGATCACCGCCATGAGGCATGCACATATCAAGAGGCGTACCCACTGAGTGTGACCCACCTCGTATGTTTGGGTATGACCCACTTTATAAGTATGACCCACTTTATAAGTATGACCCACTTTATAAGTATGACCCACTTTATAAATATGACCCACTTTATAAGTATGACCCACTTTGACGGCGATGTAGTTGTAGCGGCCAGTCTCCGGCCAGATGGTCACCAGATGGACGATGGGCGGGAAGATGATGGCCAGGGTGGACGAGCTCACCGCCCCCACCAGGTTGATGAAGAGCCCGATGTTGGGTATGAGGGCGGCCAACATGACTGTACATATGTTGGGTATGAGGGCGGCCAACATGACTGTACATATGTTGGGTATGAGGGCGGCCGAATATTATTTCATATTATTTATTTCGATATAATATAAATGATATATTTATATAAAATATAATATTATAATATTATTAGTATTATTAATATTATATAATATTATTTCGGATATGCGAATATTTAAACTTGAAGAGACAGGAAGATACATCAAATCAGATGAAAAAATTTAATGATTCCACTCCACCGAAAGTTCAAACTTTAACTTCACGCATATTCAAGTTCTGATTTACAACAAATATAAGTTTTTATTTCCAGTTTAAAGTTCATCATAACTTACAGGTAAGTAGATAAGTAGTATAGTATTATAGGTAAGGTTATAACAAATTATAACTCACATGTTTGATAAGATAAGGTCATGGATAAGTGATAAGATAAGGTCATGGATGAGTGATAAGATAAGGTCATGGATAAGTGATAAGATAAGGTCATGGATAATTGATATGATAAGGTCATGGATAAGTGATAAGATAAGGTCATGGATACGTGATATGATAAGGTCATGGATAAGTGATATGCTTTAATGAATATACCAATGATTGCGCGGAAAATAGAATAGATGAATAATTGAATCTAAATGGCTTGATAGAAAAGTAGGTAATGATGTTTGAGTTAATAAAATTAATGAGGGCGTTAAGAAAAACGAATGAAAACCGTTCAAAAGTTGATGAGTACGTTAGAAATGTCAACGAGAACATGTGGAATGGTAATGAGAACATGTGGAATGGTAATGAGAACATGTGGAATGGTAATNGAGGGTAATGGAGCCCTGCCACTCACGTCTCGTCGGGGGGCAGGTTGAGGGTAATGGAGCCCTGCCACTCACGTCTCGTCGGGGGGCAGGTTGAGGGTAATGGAGCCCTGCCACTCACGTCTCGTCGGGGGGCAGGTTGAGGGTAATGGAGCCCTGCCACTCACGTCTCGTCGGGGGGCAGGTTGAGGGTAATGGAGCCCTGCCACTCACGTCTCGTCGGGGGGCAGGTTGAGGGTAATGGAGCCCTGCCACTCACGTCTCGTCGGGGGGCAGGTTGAGGGTAATGGAGCCCTGCCACTCACGTCTCGTCGGGGGGCAGGTTGAGGGTAATGGAGCCCTGCCACTCACGTCTCGTCGGGGGGCAGGTTGAGGGTAATGGAGCCCTGCCACTCACGTCTCGTCGGGGGGCAGGTTGAGGGTAATGGAGCCCTGCCACTCACGTCTCGTCGGGGGGCAGGTTGAGGGTAATGGAGCCCTGCCACTCACGTCTCGTCGGGGGGCAGGTTGAGGGTAATGGAGCCCTGCCACTCACGTCTCGTCGGGGGGCAGGTTGAGGGTAATGGAGCCCTGCCACTCACGTCTCGTCGGGGGGCAGGTTGAGGGTAATGGAGCCCTGCCACTCACGTCTCGTCGGGGGGCAGGTTGAGGGTAATGGAGCCCTGCCACTCACGTCTCGTCGGGGGGCAGGTTGAGGGTAATGGAGCCCTGCCACTCACGTCTCGTCGGGGGGCAGGTTGAGGGTAATGGAGCCCTGCCACTCACGTCTCGTCGGGGGGCAGGTTGAGGGTAATGGAGCCCTGCCACTCACGTCTCGTCGGGGGGCAGGTTGAGGGTAATGGAGCCCTGCCACTCACGTCTCGTCGGGGGGCAGGTTGAGGGTAATGGAGCCCTGCCACTCACGTCTCGTCGGGGGGCAGGTTGAGGGTAATGGAGCCCTGCCACTCACGTCTCGTCGGGGGGCAGGTTGAGGGTAATGGACCCCTGTACCAGGTCCCCGTACTGCAGGTACCCAAAGTACCCCACAGCAGCGAAGAGGACCACCACGAGCGCCATGCCCGTGTTGAGGACACCGAAGGCGCCGCCGAACTCGCGAGGGCAACGCATCTTGTTCTCCAGGGGCAGGATCTGAGGGGGGGGAGTTAAATGAGGGTGAGAGGGACTTAATATCTGGAATAAAATGTGAATCAAATACTGGCATCATAATTCAACTTATTCTCATGAGGCAGAATCTGATGGGTGGAGTTTAGAAGTGACATGGTAGAAATTAATGCGACCTGTATTCATGTGACCTGTGTTAATGTGACCTGTATTATTGCGGACTGTATTAATGTAGGTACCTGCATTCTACCTCTTGATACAAAAACCATGAATTAAATAACTCGAATACAAACAAGATAATACGAGCAAAGGACGGCAGAGTATTTTTCACTCAATTACTGACGCGAGACGCGAGGTTTTTTCCCTCTGCCACATATGCTGTAGTGACGTCTTTAGTTCAATATACTTAAGGGGAGCGTCTACCCTAAAATTGAAAATTTTTACTTTTTCGGTTTTCATACTAATTTTAAAGCTGACATTCTGCCCTATCCAACGGTACCACTGCCATCTCTCTACGTTGATTTATGATTTCACGACATTTCATGAAAGGGGGGCGGGTGGGGGAGTTCTTTAAGTAATTAGATAGGAACTAATTAGCTGATGAGCTCTTTATATATAGAGTCCACTTGAGTTGTGCTGCAGTTACGTGTTTAGTCTCATCTTAAAGCTGACATTCTGGCCTATCCAATGGTACCACTACCATACATGTACGTCGATTTTTACGTACACGACACTTCATGAAAGGGACGCGGGGGGGAGTTCTTTCAGTAATTAGATATGAGATAATTCGCTATCCACCACTACAAATATAGTGTTTTGTGTGAGGTCTGACTCAGTGTGCCTCCGGGCTTTGTAGGGAGAGATGCACATGTAGTTGCTCCCATCATCCTTGAGTGGAATCAAGCTCCAGAAACGTTTAGTTTGGTATCTATGCTACATTGAGCGCATATTGTGGTGCGCGCGGGACTTGTCGCGCTCTTTTCAACATACACACTTATTGTCACGGAAAACCTATCTCCTCCTAGAGTTTTGAAGCTATAACAATGAGACATATACCATTCGATTCGCAAAAAATAGATCTACAAAACGACCTAGCCGTTTTTTCAATTTCGACATAGTTTGGATTTTATTTCTGAAAAAGGGGGGGTGGAAAGGGGTAAAATCGAAAAATTTCCGAAAACTTTACGAAAAATGCTCCCACGCCCGCAAAAATTAGAAATGAAAAAAAAACGGCTAGGTCGTTTTATAGATTTTACGCATCGAATGATATGTGTCTCGATGTCGTAGCTTGAAAATCCCAGGAGAAGATAGATTTCAAAAGTACCCTCTTTTTTGACCGTTTTCTATGAATTTCACGTTTTATTTCATTTTTTTCGAAAAATTTACACGAACATAATGTGAGTTTTTTTCCATTTTACATATGTGTACCAAGTTTCAGAGTGATCCGTTTGTAAATAGCCGAGATAATTTTTGGGGTAGACGCTCCCCTTAACCCCTTACGCCCCTCACCAGCGCCCTACTTAGCCTCTCATGCCCCTCACCAGCGCCCTACTTAGCCCCCATGCCCCTCACCAGCCCGATGCCCTCGAAGGCGTAGATGGCGCTGCTGAAGTAGAGGGGCAGGCCCATCCAGCCCGCGAAGAAGGGTCGGGCCACGGCCCCCTCGGACCCCAGGTCCCGCACCAGGTAGTAGAAGGTGAAGATGAACCCCAGGGTCATGAGCAGCCCCGCCGTCAGCGAGATAGGGGTCAGGTGCTGGGGTCGGGGAGGCGATGGGGGTCAGGTGCTGGGGTCGGGGAGGGGATGGGGGTGAGGTGCTGGGGTCGAGGTGGAGATGGGGTCAGGTGCTGGGGTCGGGGTGGANCCCACCAGGCTATGCAGCACATAGCATGTAGTGCCACCAGGCTATGCAGCACATAGCATGTAGTCCCACCAGGCTATGCAGCACATAGCATGTAGTCCCACCAGACCATGCAGCACATAGCATGTAGTGCCACCAGGCTATGCAGCACATAGCATGTAGTCCCACCAGACCATGCAGCACATAGCATGTAGTCCCACAGGCTATGCAGCACATAGCATGTAGTCCCACAGGCTATGCAGCACATAGCATGTAGTGCCACCAGACTATGCAGCACATAGCATGTAGTCCCCACCAGGCTATGCAGCACATAGCATGTAGTGTCACCAGGCTATGCAGCACATAGCATGTAGCCCCACCTTGAGCTCGGGTATGTAGCACAGCAGCAGCACGGGGACCAGCATGATGATCATGTAGCCCAGCATGCTTATGCCGGTGCCGCCAGTCATGCACTCTATGGCCTGTAAAACCCAAAAAGCACACTATGAAATTTGTGAATAAAAGTTACATGATTATAAATTATGATTATGTGATTTCAAATTATGTGATTTTAAATTATGATTTTTAATAATTTAAATTATGTGATTTTTAAATTTAAATTGTCTGATTTAAAGTAAATAGGGGAATGGTGAGGAGAATAGACGAAATTAGACGACATGAAATTCTGGGGAGAAAAAAGTTAAAAGTTCAATAATGATAGCAAGCAACTACCTGGTGAGCTTAACGATGATGATATAATCATTGTATTCGTTGATGATAATATAATCATTGTACATGTAATCTTGCATGCAATTAAATAGAATAAGGAGGCATTTATGTCGTCGGCCGAGGCTTCACAATACACATTTTCTTACATTAATTGATATAATTTGCGGACCTGAATATAAAATGTGGAGTCATGTTCCTTCGTTTAAAACATATTCGTGACCTGCAACACGCATTCGTGACCTGCTACACGCATTCATGACCTGGTACACGTATTCGTGACCTGCAACACGCATTCGTGACCTGCTACACGCATTCGTGACCTGCTACACGCATTCGTGACGTGGTACACGCATTCGTGACCTGCTACACGCATTCGGTACCTGGTACAAGTTCTGCGGCACGAACACGAAGTACACGCAGCAGAAGCCGAGTTGCGTGACCACCAGGAAGGCGGCCATCGTCGCCCGCACCGCCCCCGCCTGGCGGCGTACGGCCCTGAGGAAAATTACTGGCTCTAATTGTCCAAAATGTGAGACAGTTTCTGGCGACAGGTGATACATATTTCATTCTCAGAAAAATTTCTAGGTCATTTTGTCCCAAAAAAGTTTGACTTTAAAAAAAATTGAAAACTTTTTATGTTGGGGTTTAAAAATTTTCTCATCCACAGCACAAGCTGAGAGCGGTGGTATCACTGATACGCCTTCTTGCTGAGCCGAATTGAGTCAGGATGACTCACTCATCGTTATTTGGACAAAGTCCCACTCATTGCTCTGCGTGTATGCTGTCAGTTATACTTGAAGAATTTAACAAACGAAAAAAATGACAGTGAAATTCAAAACGTCATCATTAAATTAATTCTTTAACATTTTAAAGGCGACTTCTTCGCTTCTGAATTCTAATTCAATTTGCAATAAGTGTAAGCTAACTACGTTGATAATTATCGAATATAGATCATTATTTAAACCGCCTAATGGTTCATAATTCTATATCAATACTGATGTAACCATAAGAAGCATATTAATAAGATGAATGCTAATTCGTTTAATTGCACGACATTGTAAATGAGTTGTACGCGTTTACTTATTATTGATGCTCGACACCCAGCATCAAGCATCAATAAATAAGATAAATGTTAATTCGATTAATTGCTTGACGCCCGGCACGTCTGTAACGCCGACTCCAACAGACAGATGCGCCTGCCACTCAGAAAATTTAGTGAGATTATGTCCCAATATTTTTGCCATTTTAGCGTTTTTGTTGGTCATTCTGGCCCAGTTTACACTGTTAGAAAAAAACGGTGAAAAAACGGTCCTACTGGCGTTCTAGTGGCCGGTCGCCCCGTGAAAATAAACTGTTTTGCCGTTTTTATCAGATGTTTCAAGGATTTCTAGTGTTAAATTAGAATAAAAACGGCGACACGGTGTTTATTTTCACGTGCCGACCGGCCACTGAAACGCTGGTACTAACGTTAATTAACGCCGGTAATACCGTTAATTAACGCCGGTAATACCTTTAATTAACGCCGGTAATACCGGTAATTAACGCCGGTAATACCTTTAACGGTAATTTTTCTAACAGTATATAGCCCTGCAAAATGTCATATCCGTGCTACGTCCGCTCCCTGCTCGTGATGCGTGTTACTATGCGGACATATTTACGGTGTGCATGTAATAGCATCTTACATTAGATCTTTTGCATCGTATAGCCATATTTTATCTTCAAACAAGAAGATAAATTGCGATCAATTGAAGCAATTGAACAATCAAGACAGGCAACACACAACAATTGATCAATCTACACAGCCAACACAAGACATGACCGCACGATGTCTTAACAACTTCAGTCACGCATGTTGTACGAGGAAGAGTCTGCACGTTTACTCTGTATTACTTTTTCTGCGTTATTGCGTTGTTATATGATTAAGTATTGAATAAATCAAAATTATGCGTTAAGTTATCTGAAGTTTCATATCTGATAAAATTGTTCTAGTTGTTAGGTGTGATTTAGAATTGGATTTAAGTATTAATTTTTTCTAAGCCTATTCAATTCAAAATTTATTACCATTTTATCAGTAGCTTTTTTCAGCTGTGATTGTTATTTAACGTAGTTATAAAATATGAAGCGAAGCCTGAGATCAACTTCCCAACAGACAAGCTACGTTGCAATAACGTTGATTGAATGTTAATTCAACGTTAATTTAACGTTAATTAAACGTAATCTGATTCTATTTAACATTATTCGTCCTCCCACTAGCCCATGCCTCCCCTTCCCCCATGCCCCCACTCCTCCTTTACCCCCACCTGAAGGGGGATGAGCTGAACGCCACCTCCGCGGTGCCCTCGTAGCTCAGCGCCGAGGCTCCCGTCCGCGCACACAGCGCCTTGGAGCTGTGGAGCTGGAGGGCAGGGGGTTAATGTGGGGGTAGATGCGGGGGGTAAATACGGGGGTTAAATATTGAATTTATAATCGCAATATCAGGAGAAAGAACTGGTGTTTGATTAAAGTTAAGTATAGGGCACGAACTTAAATAGGATTATGCCACGTGGGTATAAGAGGGTTTTCGCATTTTGGGCCCACCATGCGGTACCCGGCGGGATAACCACGTTATGCCCAGTGGGCCCAACCCCAACGAAATTCGGGGACCGTCGAGGCTTCAGCAGAATAGTCGCTACACTTGACACAAAGTTATTTGGGTCTTACACTGAGAGAAATGGGCGGGTCTGGATGACCACTTTGATGAGTCAACCGTGTCCGAAAATCGATGCACTTTTTTGACTCATTTGCCCCATTTGTGGGTCATACTGACCCATTAAATTTCAAGCATGACTCATTTGTGACGTTAAATCGCTCTGACGCCCAGATGCTAACTACGTATCCATGCTACGGGTGGCGTCATAAGGGATTTGACGTCACAAGTGAGTCATGCCTGGAATTTAATGGGTCAGTATGACCCACAAATGGGGCAAGTGAGTCAAAAAAGTGCATCGATTTTCGGACGCGGTTGACTCATCAAAGTGGGTCATCCAGACCCGCCCATTTCTCTCAGTGAATTCTTGGCCACCAGATCGAAATCAGCGTTTTTGACAGAATCTCCTATCCGACTTTATGGTCGCTTGAGAGTATGACAAGAGTTGGCCGAGCCGAGTCATACCAAGACAGCCAGCTGCCCAGAGGCTGCCCTTGGAACCCTGAGCCAAAGCAGACACATGCAGAGCGACTTATTTACGCGCTCCCCGAGTCCCAGGCGGCATCTAATTTACAGTCGGACCCGCAGGTAGATTTTGTTGAGGAACTCGCAACCATGCAGTGCATGGCTGGAGTCCCCAGCACCTGCATGCAGTGCATGAAAACGAAGCGAATCGCCCAACAGCAACTGCCTGTACTGTATACAGGTGCAGCCAATCACCCACCAGCAGCTGCATGCAGTGAATGCAGGTGCAGCCAATCACCCACCAGCAGCTGCATGCAGTGAATGCAGATTGCGCCAATCACCGGGATGCCAATCAGCCCCACGTAGAGCCCCGCGTGCATGAAGGCCTCAGGCATGTTCAGGATACCGGGGCCAATGTTGCCCTTGAGTAGATGGACGAACGTCGCGAACGATCTACCGAGTAGATCAGTAGGTAGATCATAGGGTGAATCAGGGGTAGATCAGGAGCAGCTCATTGCGTTGATCAGGGTTAGATCAAGAGGTGAATCAGGGGTAGACTTTTATTAGATCAGGGTTAGATTATCGGGTATATCAGCAGAAGATCAGGAGTAAATCATTTGTAGATCAATATTAGATCAGAGGCAGATCCGGGGTTGCTAGTAAAAAATCAGGGTGGGGACCGGGAAGTCTTTACGTGGGGAGGGGTGCCATGAATGGTAGGGTGCAGGGGGTTGAGTACTCACGAGGTGGCGTGTTTCAAGTCCCGCTCGTCGCCCACGGGGGCGACGCTCCTTGTCGTTGTCGCCCCATCGACAACGTTGTCGTCCTCCTTGTCGTTGTCGCCCTGAGTGCAAATCATCATTAAACTAGCTGTAGCTATGGTGATAAGCGACAGTTGGATGATACCTGGATGATACTTTTAATAATGATCAGATGCAGTGATGACAATTTCTCTTGCAAAGCATTCTCTGGTTAGAATAATTGAGTTGATTATCAAGCTAATCTAGCAGATGATTTGGAAGTTAACAACCATGGTATTTCATGGTATTTATGTCAACACTCAGAATTAAGGGCTCTCTCACTGTTTAACCTCTAAACGTATTGTGAACATACGAGTCACAGTTGAAAATCTACTTTCGTATTTAGAAAACCAATTAGCCAAAACCCAATTTAAGGTATAATCTCACAATTAATGTTTTTACTCATAGAACTGGACAAAAGAATCGTCTGATTATACCAGGCTCAATTTTTGATTACCGCCATAACGGTCGCCCTAGAGTTCATTTAGAGTAGTGTCGGCCGAATGTATATATATACCCTCTTCTTTTTTATGCCGAAACTTGCCTCGAAACTGAGACCCAAACAAACTTTGGAATCGCTTAAGCTTCTGGCTTTGGTAATTTGTTGCTGAACGGCTCTGAAATCCCTTTAGGATTTGAAATAGGCTCAGGAGAGGCCTTGATAGTCAATTAGAAGTCAGGCCGGTTTTTGATTTCGTTGAATTAAGTTTATCATTTCCTTTTGAAATCATTGCCCCTGATCGAAGTTACCATCTCTACACTCGGAATAATTTAATGACTGTCAAAATATCCTAATATTGATGAACATCATGCCCTGGTTTGGGTCTTCCTGACGCACTTTTGCCCGACAGAAGATTGTATCAGTGCTACGCGCAAGAGATAACGACACTATTTGGCCAACATTATAAATATACCCATTCACTTTTCTACAGTCAAAGTCATAAGTGACGTCACCACTCACAATGAACGCAACCACTCTCAATTAGAGTGATCTTAGGTCACATCACTCACCGGCAGGGTCACCGGAACGTCTTGTAGAGCAAGGCCTGTTGTTGCCGCCTGAGAAATACCGGGACGTTAAAATAAACATCTTCGCCGGTTTTGGAAATTATCGTTGGTATTGATAATGATAAGTAAATTAATTAAATAAATCTATCATTTAACATAACAATATCACCATTAAATGTGTATAACATTAATCGATCATTTATTGCCATTCATTTCAGCGACAATTTTTTAATAATAATAATAACTACAATGATGAGTAGATCACTGCACTAAGTGTACTATTTATCCTAACTATATAAACTGTGGCAGTTACCAATATATCTACCATCTACCCTCACCACATTAACAATGTTAGGTAGATCAGTGTGCCATGTCTACTTATCTACGCCAACAATCAACACAGCTGATAAGATTGCAACAATCATCGACATCAACACGATGATCCACAATATTTTATCTCGGTATAGCATTATTTTGTTGTTGTTGTTCTGTTATTTTTATCACCGCACGTATTATTTTTATTGGTGTAAACATGAGTGTGGATTTTGTAGTGTGTACATTTAAGTTATTGTTGGTTTTTGTTAATTTACCCGTCATTGTTGTTTCTGTTGTTGGTGTGTTTAACATCATTGTCTTTTCTAGTATTAGGTATATTATGTCTAATAATGATAATATAATATAATAATAATAAAATATAATATAATATAATATAATAATAATAAAATATAATATAATATAATATAATATAATATAATATAATAATAATAATATAATAATAACAATACCCCTATGTTGCTGTTGTTGGTCCAGGGCGGCGGCGAGACAGCCATCATCGCGTCATTTGCATACATAAATTGGATAGATTAATTGTATAGATTTATTGGACCAATGAATTTGCACAATGAATTTGATAAATTAATTGAACGAATATATTTTATGAATCAATATAATTTATTTTAGGTGAATATTCGTACGCTGTATGTTGTTATAGATATAGGCTTGCGGCACACATTGTGTCCTAATGAGCCACGAGTCTTATTCCGACGCTCACTCAAAACAATGAATGGTGAGATATTTGGATATAACGCCTATATATCTTGGAACAATCTGTTATAATTGTTGATACTAATATTAGTTCATCATCTGTTGCTACACTACAGCTTGAATTAACACGTTGGCCGCGAGTGCCGATTTGGTCTGTTCGCCGTACGAACGACATGCAGGTTCAAACTTCTCAAACTTGTATATTTAAATTCCCCCATATTACGCATAGGAATGACAATGGAAAGAGTTTGGTGTCCTATTGTTCATCATCCTGAGTAAAATTGTGGGAATTTACATTGTTTGTTCAGTTATATTTGCCTTATATAGATAATTCATCGTCTATGTCGTCTTGTGCTTATATTCCTTTAAATGTTTTTCAGAGTTATAATATCTATGCTTACAATAATATATTTTTGAGTAAATATTGTAAATTTGATTGTACTCATTTCAGCTAGATTTTTTCTTTCACATTAGCATCACGAACGCGAAGAATTTCTACGGAATGGAGATCAAGTAAATTTCAGAGACAGATGATGAGATGGATTCTTCAAGTGAAAGCTGCAGTGATGAATCAGAATTAGACTTTGCCCCAACTGGTTCCAGTTCTAACAGCCGGAATGAAGAAGAACCTCCAGAAGATTCATTTGAGAATGAAGATAAATTAAGCGCTGCATCAAGAAATCAGTAGAGAAAGTGCGCCTGATGCATGGATGGCTGTTAGTGCAAAATTAAGACAATATATCCTTACAGGCAAAGAAGAAGTTTGACGAAAATCCCGCCCAACTGGTCCAGAGAACACAGTAACGCTATTTGATACTTATAATCTCTTTGTAACAGAAGAAATTGTTTCGGAAATGGTAACAGAAATAAACAACTACGCTGATCAACACAAAGATGACAAGTGTTGAAGTTTTGCAGAACAGAAAGATTACATGAAGATCGCAACTGAAATGCTGCACCCCACAAATGATTATGAAATAAAGAAATTTTTGGGGCTGATAATTGCAATGTGATTAGTACGCAAACCAAAGCTGGAACTTTACTGTTCTAAAAAACGATTTATGACTTTTTATTAATATGCAATAACATGTCAAGAGATAGACATTCATTGCTTCTACACTTCGTGCACTTCAATGAAAATGCTCGTTCTGATTATTCAAAAGGCTTCATACATCAGAACCACTTGTGTTACAGCTAACTGGCAATAATTATTACAAGTCAACATATACACCATGCATCACGACTTGTGACAGACGAGTCAGTTACATTATTCCGAGGCAGAGTGAAGTTCTGACGATACGTTAATTCAAAGAATGACACACGCACAAGCCCGGCATACAGCTGTATAAACTTTGCTCAGCTGATGCCTACACTTGCAACCGTCACATATAAACTGGAAACATGGAACGGGAAGCCACTGTCTGCCATTTTGAATCTGTTTTTGCAGCAAAGTCAGCCCCTTAATTCTTGGACAGGTTTCAACTATTTTGCGGACAAAATTTGTTGACTGAAAAGATATTTTACTGTGGGGCACTAAAAAAATATCAAATTTGTTCCAGAAACACTTCTATATGTAAAAGTGAAAACAGGAGAAATGACATCGCAACACAACGCGGCTGGCAAAGTGTATCATTGGAAAGACAAGCGATCTGTCTTGTGCCTCTCAACTATTTCAGAGCACACGTTACAGATGCATTATTTCCATCGGGCAAGAAAAACCGTAATGGCATTGAAATTCTGCAGAAGCAGGATGTGTAATTTAAAAAAAAAAGGCTAAAAAGGCGTAAACATTTCATGATCAGATGACTTCGTATAGTACGGCTCTAAGACGAAGCACAAAATGGTACCGGAAAGTGGCAACTCAACTGCTAACTGGCACATCAGTTGTCAATGCATGGGTACTCTTCAACAAGTACTATTCTCGCCCCTCCATTTCAATTACAGAATTTTGGGAGCAAAAGCAATGTTTCTCATTACATGCAGCCACTCAGAGAGCGTAAAATCAGGACGTAGATCTGAAATTACCGAGGGTAAAAGAGGGTAGCGCACTCTGATAGAGCCAAACACAATTAAACCAGGAAGCGCTGCCATGAATGCTACAAGATTCTCTCAGCAAAAGAGGAAAGTGTCGTAGCAAGGGTGAAAACTTGCAGGGTAAAACCGTACTGATGACTCTTTAAGCAAACTATACTCGTGCGTTAATTGTTTTGCAATCGCGTGCACAGTTTAAAATAATGCTTTTTGCAACAACCAATGTTGCAGTTGCAGAGAAATAAAAATATACTTATTTTAATAATTACAATAATTTCGTTTTTATGCAGAGATACCAAAATTTTGTTTTCATCAATGCCCACGAATTTTGTCTCTTTTTTGCCACTCGCAGTTGAAAATAAAATTATTGCTCCATGCAGTATTTTACTTCAAACCCCTTCCTAACAGGCCTAATGGCCTGTTAAAATTGTAAATTTGCCATTAACATTGCAACTTTGAAAGAGAAATTTTATTTTATACAAATATTTATTTTTCATAGATATGTACAACATTCATATGTTCACATCGCGATTCTGGACAGTTCAGCGTGTATATTATGTATAGCGCACATCACAGCCAACGTGTTAATTCAGCTGAATACAGTAAAATACAGGACTGTGTGACAGTGGATTTGAATTATGAAATCTACAATAAAAAAGTCCTACATAAGGCTAAGCCTAAGGCGCTATGTTATCACTTTTGTCTGTGAACAATCATACTTTCACACAAAGCAAAATATTGTCTGAATATTGTGTAAATACAAATGATATTGTGTCTACATTGTGAAGACACAAAGCCAAACTGTGAGTATTTTGAAAATACAAAAAAACTTGCAAGTCTTTTGTAAATATAAAAAACTGTGTAAGTCTTTTGTACATACAAATTAATATTGTGTGAACCTTCCATGAGAAAATATACCGGGGGTTATCCACTGCCAGTCACGGTGATAGCAAATAGGTTGTTATCGTCTGCGTCA